ACTAATCCCACTGCCCCACTGTCTCCCCATAGCCCCCCAAACTAATCACAGACCCTACTGTCTCTCTTTACAGCATTGTATCAATCCTAAACTGCCCCACTGTTCTATCTTCTGCTCATAGAGCTCTAACATTCCTAAAATAATGGCAAATAAATCCCTCTGTCCCACTCTCTTCCCATAGCCCTGCATCAATCCCACACTCATCCCTCTCACTCATCACACTCATCACTTTTCTGAAGAAGTGTCCAGACCTGAAACGTCAGCTTTCCTGCTCCTCCGATGCTTGGCCTGCTGTGTTCTTCCAGCTTTACACCTTGTTATCTCATCCCACTTCCCCGTGCTCTCCCTATAGCCCTGTAAGAATCCCCAAACTGATCCACTTCCCTGCACTCTCCCCATAGTCCTGTCTCAATCCCAAACTAATCGCAACACCCTGCTTTCTCTCCCCACAGCCCTGTATCAATCCTAAACTACCTCGCTACCCTACATTCTCCCCATAGCACTCTATCATTCCCAAAATAATCCCACTGCCTTGTTCATGCTGTAACTCTGACAGCCTCCCTTTCAAGTATTTATCCACTTTCCTCCTCAAATCTGAATAATCTGTGTCAGCCCCCACCACCACCACCACCACCACATCCCCCCCCGACCCAAACACACAAGCTCCTGTTTATCACGGTGACAGTGTTTAATCGATGACTGTCATCACTGCCTCCACAACCCCAAGCTCTGGGGGCAAGCACAGAGGGATTACTGAAAACCTCCACATTTTAAACTCGATTGAACCTGCTCTTAGCCTTCTTTTCTCCAGGGGGGATTTTCTCATATTGTGGAACCTGTCCACTAGTCAATCAATGCTCGTGTCCGTCCTTTATATCATGGGGTGCACAAAATTGTACTGTAGTGCAGCTAATGTATTGTGCGGAACAACAGAAATGTATTTGAATGGGAAGAGAGCACTGGGCCATTCTGGCTGTGTATCATCTTGCTTCAGGCCCGTGGGTCTCCCTGCTTTTGTTTTTGGGCTGTGACCCTGTCAGTTCCTCAGCCTCCAGAATCTGTCTTTCTAAAATTATTTACGGAATCGGCTCCTGCCACCCTTTCAGGTCGAGCAGTCCTGATCTGGATAACTCCCTGTGAGTGTAAACGTTTTTCCTCTTCTCCAGACCTTATATCGATGGTCTTAATCTTTGTGCTCTGTGAGTCTCGTTTCTCAAACCCTGTTTCCTCCTCCCTACCTTAGGGATCTGAGCAAGCCCTTCTCTGTTAAGTCACAGTCTTTAAGTGGTCAGCGCCGCATGAGTGGTGACGGGCTGTTGCGAGTCACTGAGTCATGCATTAGTTACAGTACAGAAGGAGACCATTCAGCCTATTGAGTTTCCTCTGGCTCTGTGCAGGAGAGGCGTGTCATGTCTCACTCTCCTGCCCCTCTTCCCCGCGTCCCTGTAGTCTGTTTCTTTTCAGCTGCTTTATCCAATTCCCTTTCGGACCTGCCTCCCCCACACGCTCTGGGGCAGCTTGTTCTGGATCCCAACCGCTCGCTGAGTGAGAAACCTTCTCACATTGCCCACTGCTTCTAATGTCAATCTCCTTCAATCGGTGTCCGCTGGGTCTTGGCC